AATTATGCCACTAGTTTTTTTTCACATGGTTTGCTCTTGTAACTCCATTTAGACCATATCTTCACCTCATCATATCTTCTGTTATTTATTTATTTATTTAGATTTTGTTTTGATAAATAATGTAATGTTTGGATGCAACTGCAGTCGACGCACAGGCTCGCTGCCCATGTCGGCTTATTCTTTACAAACATGTACGCTTTGTAAACATATATGTAATGCAAAGGTTAATTTTATGTTATTCTTTAAATTCACTTATGTTTTTCTCCTTTAAATATGATTTGTGTACAAATTTCTGTAAATAATTTGTTGGAATAAAGATATAATTCATTCATTCATTCATTCATTCATTCATTCATTCATTCATTCATTCATTCATTCATTCATTCATTCATTCATTCATTCATTCACTTCAAACAAACAAACACACAAACTTTCACATTTATAATATTAGTAAGAGTTTGATCAAATTTGGTAGAATTTTGGAAGAAAAAACTAATATTAAATGCATAACACAGCGGGGCAGTTTAATGCAGTATAACTGCATTAAACATGGAAATAACATTCAGAATTTGATATGAGGAAATTAGGTTTTTTGTTGTTTACACAAAAACTAAAAGATACGAAGTAAGTGTAAATTTACAAAGTTGTTAGGGATTATGAAACCTATAAAATGATCTGCCTATTGACATATGTTGCTATTAAAAATTTTAATCAATGGGCATTTGCAAATTTTCAAAAATCATTTTTTTTTTTAATTCTTATTCTTTAAAAAAGCCGTTACTTGTAGCATCTATATATTAATTTGAAACTGTTTCTCTTTGTGACAGCTAATTTGAGAAAATGGCTGGGCGTAGAAACTCGGTTGAGGTGTCTAAAGAAAGGCTTGGTCTGTAGGTGAGCCATCAAAAGAGAAACGTGGTAAATTCCCTTGGAGCTCTGCCCCAGTGGCCTTTAAATTCCCATCCCATGTTATTCTTATGGGGGAAAACGGGTTTTTGTCACAGCTAATTTCAGAGAAAGGCTGGGCGTAGAAACTCGGTAGAGGTCTCTATAGAAAGTTCATGGTCTGTAGATGAGCCATCAAATGAGAAACGTGGTAAATTCCCTTGGGGCTCTGCCCCAGAGGCCTTTAAAGTCCCCTCAGCAGATTTGTTTACATCACGACCATATGCATACATTTACACTACTTTTTACTGAAACAGCTGTTAGTATTTAAATTGTGATTTACTAAATTTGTCAAAATGAAGTATTTGCAATATTTTTGCTGATTTTAAAATAGATTTTCTTCTGAATCGTGTTATGTTTTGCAATATAATGTTCTTTTTACCAAATCAGTGGAAAATCCTAATATCACAGTAACTCTTAAAATTATTTCTTATGGAGTTAACTTATATATCTATTGTATGGGTTGGTTTCTGTCTTTTTTACCACTTCTTGGAGATTGCATGTAGACGATATTTTTTGGCGTATTGCATCTGTAGTAGACGATACTTGGTTAGTGTCATTTTTTAAATTACAATGGAAAAAAGCGAGAAATTATGGACAATTTGATATACTAAAAATAAAACTGAATAACCACTGTGCTACATTTCTCGAGCAATAATTGAAAGAGCCGATTTGCAAACAATGGAAACAGGAAAGTCATAGAACACAACCAAGTACAGTAGAAGAAATAGAAATATATTTATTTTTTCATTTATAATCGTTAATATAGACAACCTAATGCGGCTATGAGTGGGAAGCATTTGTAGAAAACACTAAAAACAAGGTCAGCTTTTGAAAAAAGATAAGATATTTAGAAACAATTTTAATTATATCTAACTGTTGTGTACATCTTGAGTATTTCCATAATCTTTGAGTTGACTCTTGTAAAGTCATCGGAAATTATTTTAAAATAACGCCTGTAATGCTTCGCAATTGCTCGAATTCGAGCAACAGGTACACTAGTATCACAGTAAAGCTAATTTCATAATGAGTAAGAAAATTCAACCGGAAAAGGGCTAAGTAAAGTAGTGCATTGTATAGGAAACAAAGAGTATTAAAAACATATTGATTTTTTCCAAATAAACTGCCGCCATTTTGAAGCGGAAAAAGATCATTCATTTCTATTTTCGCCAAAATGTTTGTCTATTAAATACCTTTAAAATGATGTATAATATGACATAGACTCTTTTTGTGCTATCGAAATAATGAGGTTTTAAACGTAATCATTTCAAAAATGGTTGAGTTAATAACCTTAACATACACTAAACTTTACACAATTTTACACTTCAGGAAGTGCTTAGGGTACACCTATGTTGGGTGTCGTAAATTTTCACCCAAAGTGGGGCCTGGGTTAACCCATTGGCCCGGCGACTGAGTTAGGTACGAGTGCTGCTAGTGTCACCGCTACGCAGCGCCACTAGTTATTTAATTATTATTATTTTCCCCCATTATGTTTCTTCTTATTTTTATAATTATATTTATAAATATAGGCTATTGCTTCTTGTATTGATATTTACTCATTGATTTTTGTGAATAACAAAACAGGTTGTGTAGGCATGGAAACCAGATATCACCCAAAATCAGCTTCGGTAAGGTAAAAAAATTTGTTTCTATGTTACCTATTTATATTTATAAAAGAGGAAGTTTGTATATATATATTTGAACGTTATGGACTCCGAAACGGCTTGACAGATTGTAATGAAACATTCAGGCATTAGTAAGCATTATTCAAGGATGGTTTGTGTGAAGTTTGGTGCATATCCGTCAAAAGGGCTCCACCCCAGTGGCTCTAGAGTTTCCCATGTTAACCTTAAGACTACTTATATTTGAATGGAATTAAAGAATCTTATCAGCTGGTTCAACTAAACAATTTTATTCTGTGATGTTCAATAGCATTAACAAGTTAAATATGTTTACCAACAGGGTGCAGCCCTATTATTTTTTTAATTTATGACAACAGCTAATTTGCAACCAAAAGGTGAGTGAGCGTAGCGAACAAACTTCAACCTGGAGGTGAGTTAGCGTAGCGAACGAGCTTAACTTGAAGGCAAGTGAGTGCAGCGAACGAGCTCCAATCTAAAGGTGAGTAAGCGTAGCAAACGAACTTCAACCAGGATGTGACTGAGCGATGCGAACGAGCTCATCTTGAAAATGAACGAGCATTTGACAAAAAACCACAATAGGATAGGACGACGTCTATCAGGCCAGCTAGTTACTTATAAAAGTAAACAATTTGTGATTTTTCTACGTAGGGAATCAATTAAAAACTTTATAACATTGTGTCATTTTGTGTCTGGATTGATCTTGGAATTTGTAAATCAAGTTAACTTAGGCTAACTTTAAAAAAATTGTTTTTAAAATTTTCAATTTTATAATATTTATAGCCTAATTTAATATTTATTTTTTTATTTTACACTTTGACTATTCAATTACCGGTACCAATTAAAAGTACCGGTAACAATTTTAGGTTTAATTATGTCGGAGATAGTGACCACGAGAACCATAGTTAGGTATTTGTCATTAGAAACTAGATTTTTACCTGAAAACAATGGTGCAAAAAATGTTCTGCTGTCACAAAAACTGAATAAACTACGATCGTTTGAATTTTAAATTTAATGTTATATTAGGCACTTTGATTTAGACACATATCAATGTTTACTCTGTAAAATCAAAGATAATAGCCCAAGTCACATGTATTGATCGATTATATGCCATTTTAAAGTAAATAACTTAACTTAGGCTAAGTAAATATTATTTATTGTGTTTAGCCTATAGCACTATTTTACAAAGTGCAAATACAGTCTGGAGACAAATTAACATAAATCAACAACTAACTCCATTCATTATAACTTAAGCTTTACCTTCCTAATCTAACCTAACTTCAAAACCCTTAATAGAGTCACGAATCCAAACATATCTAAGTTACCTCACATGTCTAAACTGATTAGGCCTAAGTTCATAATCAATGTTCAGTTGAATTGATCAATGTCTCTACCTCTTTGCCTCTTTGTAGAAACTTAATGTTTGTCATCTTAGGTTTCTTCTTCTTGCCTAGATGATCCTTTCAATTGTTTATGTTTGTGTTAATCAATTAACACTTAACAGTAATGACAACAGAGACTAGCAGACAAGGCATTACAGTAATAATATTCAAACTATCGTAGTTTAAGTATTTAGGCCTACTTAAGTTTTTGAGACAGCAGAAAAGTTTCGCACCATTGTTTTCAGGTAAAAATATAGTTTCTATGGTTCTCTTGGTCACCATCTCCGACATAACCCAATTTAAGTTACAGTTTTCTCTCTATAACAAAATTAAGAGTAACTTAAAAGTCTACAAATTCGGTAATTTTTATTAAGTTAATTGCCGACAGAGGGAACTGCAGGCAGCGCATTAATTCCTTCCCCAAAGGGTTAAGCTGATGAAATCAACAGGGCTGCTTGTCAATGTTATTAAGTAATGCTAGGCCCTAACTTAGTTAATAAGTTATCAGTGCTCAATTTGTAAAAAAAATAAGGTGCCGGAAGTGTAAATTACCCGGGAATTATGACACAACCCCCTTCCAATCCACCCTCAAATAATTGTTGAGAGGTTACAACTTACTGCTGTGCCATTTCCCTGCAAATCGAGCACTGGTTATTATTGCACTGTTACCAATAGGACTAACCTAATTGGCGACAATATAGGCCCTAGGCTATTTGCAAGGGAATTTATTTTAACTTACAAAAGAAATACCCCTAGCCCTAATCTAATCCTGGGCTAAAGATAACTGCGCGAGAGAAAATGTTAAAATCTTCATTAGCTTTGAGGCATGTTGTAAACATTGAGTGTGAATAAATTTTCTAGATTGACAAAAGGCCTAATATGGCCAAGAGCAGAGTTTAGCCTATTGAAAGTCCCTATAGCCTATTGGATCCTCTTTGCAAACGGCCTTAATTGAATGTGTATTAAAGTAGCTTAAACTACTAACTAATATTCAGAAATAAAGCTCCCTGAAAGATTATTATTAGTTTCTCACCTTAACATGGGCCAAATATTGACAGCAACTTAAATATAACGATAAAACGAATACTTGCATCAAAATAAATAACGATGAAACTGAAACGAGCAGAACCATTTATTCCAAAAGTTTATTCTAAACACGTTAGTTAAAATAAAAGTTTTAAGAAAACATTCCACTTGCACAGAAAACACATGTAAACTCCAACATACATTTCATAATAAACAAAACTCATAACAACTAGGCCTACTCAAGCTTCACAAACTTAGACGGCCATTTGGTTTTGTATTATTATTAAGGATAGGCTTGGTTTTGGTCTATTCCTTTTTTCTTTTTCTGCCCAACGTATTGGTTGGTTAAATAGGGGGCTGAGTTTATTTTCAATTATTTCACAGCAGAAATTTCTATTTTCGCATCCGGATGAAAGAAAATGGGTGGCACAGATATTGTACACAGGACATACTATATGCATGCACTATGTTTGTTTGACTAATTCAATATTTTTTGTCATGTGGAAAGCGAATAGCGACCTCTTGTCGGGAATTTTCGATTTTGAGTTTTATACATATAGGATATATACATATACAGGGTGAGTTTTAGTCGAGTACGGGATTACCATACGAGTCCGGTACACACATTTTGGACGAGTTACGTACGATAGTTTACGCCATACTACTAAATCCGTACAAATCCTTATATATTTCCACCAACTAAAGTACTAAAAATCACTAGTAACCACCTCTAAGAGAAGTTATGTTTTTGTTTATAACCACTCATTGCCCCCTAAATACAGTATAATCAGCTGATTGGGGTCCGGTAAAACTCATTGCAGTACAGTAGTACGCAATGAAACCCCATTTGAATAAGCTTGCGATAAACAGCTGTTTTCTGGACTAAATCCTTGCGTGGGAAGTTCTTCAAAATAATGTAGTGTGGCGTAATTTTTTTTCAAATGTAAAGGTATGGTTGTGACCCATCGTTTCAAACTAGATTTTTACGCTGAATACGATGCTGCAATCCGTTTAAAAAAATCTTGACCCGTTCTAAAAATATGAGTATTTTTTAAAAACTTTATTTTTAGCCAATTTTAACATTGTGCAGTTACAAACTAAGACCATAATTGCAAAATAGTGCTAGATAAAGACAAGTATACACCACCAGTCATCGTCAACCTATTTTCACTTGGTTGTGACAATGTATTTTTTTCAGCCCCCATCTTGGATCCGCCATTTTGAAATTACATAAATTATTTTTGATATGAAGGTGGTGTTGTGACCCATCATTTTAAATTACTTTTTATGCTGAACTCAATGGTGCATTTCATTTTTCATTTTCATGTTTTATTTTTGAACTATTGACATTTTAAATAAAATAGTTGTAATATATCATTAAGGAAGCTTGATAACAAAAAACGGATTGCAGCATTGAGTTCATCATAAAAAAGTAATTAAAAATGACGGGTCACAACACCAAACACCACCTTCATATTTAAAATAATTTATCTAATTTCAAAATGGCGAATCCAAGATGGCAGCCGAAAAAATACATCCCTCATAATCAAGTGAAAATAGGTTGACAATGACTGGTGGTGTATACTTATCTTTATCTAGCTCTATTTTGCGATTATAGTTTTAGTTTGTAACTGCACAATGTTAAAATGTGCTAAAAATAAGCTATAAAGTTCTTATAACTTTAGAATGGATCAAGATCTTAAAAACGGATTGCAGCATCGTGTTCAGCGTAAAAATATAGTTTGAAACGATGGGTCACAATTCTACCTTTGCATTTGAAAAACAAACTTTGTATCCAATATGGCGGATCCAAGATGGTGGCCAAAAATTTATACCCAGTCAAAATGAAGTACTTACTACCATAGATAAAACATACTCCCTTAGTGGATTTCTCATCCTTATGGAACAGCTGAAGACAATTTTATTGTTAGTTCATGTACGGTTTATGTAGAGGTCGTGTTTTGTTTACAATTTGTTTCCCGTCATTATAGCCAATTAAAACCTCGTTTAACCAAATAATACGATCTAATCATAAACAATAACTTGTCCCCTAGTTATATAACCAAACAGTAAAGCACAAATCAAGAAATTAACCCTAAAATAATGGAAACAAAGTTTCATCGACACTAGCGCCTTTGTGTCACGTACATGAACTAGACACGAAAAACGTGCTTCAAAATTTACAATGGGATGAGAAGTCTACTTGTGTTGGTTAGTCTATGTTACTACTCTACAATGATCTGATGTGGTCCGGAGTTGATATCTTAAGAAATGTAGAAAAAAGTAGGGGGGGACTCATTAAAACTCACCCTTATACAGGGTTTCCATAAAATAATGGTGCGGTTTAATTATGAAATAAATAGATAACGAGAAGAGGTACAAAAAACTATTTATTTTATTTGATTCCTTACATTAAAAAGATTTTATACATATCTAATAAAGCTCAACATGGCCACCATTCCTAGTCCTGCAGACGTCCAAACGATAATCTACTTCAGCCCACACATTTTGCAACATTTCTTTTGTCACCATTGAAACTGCATCAATGATTCTTTCCCTTAGGTGGTCCAAACTGCAATTTTTTTGAGCATATATTTAAAAAATTAGGTGATTTGGGGTTCTTTACATTACCCCAAAGAAAAAAGTCGCATGGAGTCAGGTCCGGGCTCCTGGGGGGCCATGCTATAGGACCGTCTCTTCCAATCCACCTGTTCGGGAACTTAACATCTAAAGCATCTCGAACAATTGTTTTATAATGTGGAGGTGCTCCATCCTGCTGAAAATAAAGGCTTCTTGCATTTTCCATGTTGTCAAGTTGAGGAAAACAATAAGTTTTCTAACGTGTCCAAGTAAAAATTTCCATTGATAGTTTTTTTAGCGAAGAAAAATGGCCCAATTACTTCTTCTCTGGACAGGCCGCACCAAACGTTTATTTTTGGTGAGTCTCTTTCCTTTTCAAAGGTTTCATGAGAATGCTGAGCTCCCCAAATTCTTACGTTGTGCCTATTAACACAACCACTGATGTGAAATGTGGCTTCATCTGAAAAAACTACTTCATTCAAAAATGATTCATTTTCTGCCATTTGGTTCAACATAAATGTAGCGAATCCTGCTCATTTTTATCAAATCTGTTGTTTTTATTTTTTGAAGAAGTTGAATTTTGTAGGCATGAAGATGGAGTCTTTTGTGTAAAACTTTGTTAAGAGTACTTACAGGTGGGTATTCCTAATTCAAGACTACGGCGAGGGATGGATTTCTTTGGACTTCTAACACAAGATAGTCTGATGTCTTCAACTGTCTGGTTCGATATTGGTGGTCTACCAGGTCTACTTTGCTTTTTAACTGACCCAGTGTTTATGAATTGCTTACTCCAACGATTAATGTTGTTTTTATGAGGCGGAGCTTTATTGAATGTTCTTCGAAATGCCCGTTGCATTAAAGTCACTGACTTTAACTCACTTTATAACAATACACACTTAGCTTTTTCCTGATCTGAAAACATGTTGGTCGAAAAAACTCAACTTATCGATTAAGAAGTGTTTTGAATAGTACAACAATCAAAACAGCTGTTTTAACAAATGTGAACAACTGTTTGAGCTACTATATACAGGGATACCAACAGAAGTCATTTAATTTGTCTTAAGTAGACCTAAACTAGTGCAACTACCCCATCAGCTGATTTGACAGTTAGAGACGATAGGGGCGGAAACGACGTAGTATAGCGGATTTGAGCCGTTTTGTATACAAATTAGCGTATGTTGTCAAAAGTGCAGCAAGCAGGTGGTACCAGGATACAGGTGGTAGGAGCAGGAGGTAATGGATAGGGGATGAAACAGCTGTCTGTACAGTAATGTGTTTAAATAGCTAACACTTGTTCGTTTGCAATTATTGTCTTATATGTATAAGGCATATCAACCAACATCAACACCAACGTTTTAACCCAAAACACAGATTACATTTAGTCAATAAACAAAAAATAGTTAAAATCATATTGTTGATGGAAACATTTAACAGCACAGTATGGTGAAAACCGAGGCGCGGTGACCACCGTCGTTAATCTGGGACAGTTTAGAAAGTCTTACGTAAGCGGCCTTGAGTACACGGTCGTCCCGTTCGTTTGCGAACACGGCAGCTTTGAGTCTCATTCAGTGCCTGGTACCCGCGTTGAATAACACAGTACGCTTGGTGTTTGCTAGTTTCTGTATGTGCCGTATGTGTTTACCGCTTGCCGTGTTACAGTCGTAATATAGTGGAATGTTGTGTTGGAATATAACACTACACGTTGAGTTCGCTTGTGTCTGTACCGTCTATATTTTAACAAGTGAAATGTGTTGTGCTTGCGTATGTCTCGAACTATGTGACACAACAGCTGTATCCAGTGTAGACCCTACCACCAACCAACCGCCTCGCCGTGCCTATCCATTAGCCGTCATTGGTCGTGTCCATCAATGAGGTATTTTTAAACTAAATTTATAATTTATATCTTATGTTAGACCTCCTAAAAAACAGTTTTGCCGATAGTAATGTAAAATAAAGTAAAATTAAATATTGGTCTTTACATCTAAATATCTTGGTCTAAATATCTTTAAAAACACATCAGTAGTGGTATAAGGGGTGTTCTGCGCACAATATTTTTGTTATAGGGTTTTATATAGTAAAATTAAATATTGCTTATATATATCTTAAAAACACATCAGTAGTGGTATAAGGAGTGTTCTGCGCACAATATTTTTGATATAGGGTTTTATATAGTTAAATTAAATATTGCTCATATATCTTTAAAAAAACATCAGTAGTGGTATATAGGGTGTTCTGCGCACAATATTTTTATATAGGGTCTTATATAGTCTTTAGAAAGACTGATTTGTTTTGTACGTGAATTATACCCAATTCCATGTGTCCTGACTTGTGTGAATCAAATAAATTAGTTTACCATCTCCAACGTAGGAGGGCGGGTTTGGTATATTTAATTGTATCGGAAAGCAAACCTCTAAAAACTTGTTGTCATAAAAGAAAATAAATGTTTTGCCATTTGCATTGTGTCTTTGTTCTACTAATTGATAATGTTTGTTTTGTAACAGGTATTTAAATGTAACTTTTTCTGTTTCTATTGGACTCACTAGTTGAGGAAGCTTCATTTCTTGACATATGGCTTCGGGTGATAATTGATTAGAATAATTTGATCCTGATGCATTCCAATGTAGTGGTAATTTAATTTGCTTTTGAAACTTTAGACGTAGTGACATTGACTTGCGAAAATTTTTGGTTTTAGTAGTAGTAGATTTCTTTAAATTTTCTTTTATTCTCTCTAGTTTATCTTGTGTGATTTTACTTGGCTTGTCCATAGTTAACATCAGAACAGAG